GTTCGTGCAACAGATATAGAGGGAGAGATAGAGTGTGTGAGAGAGAGAGAGAGAGAGAGAAAGAGAGAAAGAGAGAGAGAGAGAGAGAGAGAGCCTAGTGCGCCATTGAATCAAGGAAGTCGACGTCAAAGCAGGTACCACGGCCGCTGTTTCCATTTTTAACGCAGTTTCCATGTCCATATGTATTACATTATCAAGGCGGCTGGGCAGACAAGTAAACACACAAGTCATGAGGAGAAGGGAAGCTGCGACCGATGGAAAAAGGGAACCAGTAGCATGGTCCAGAATGTTGGTCAGCAAAACAGAGTCTCCTTGTGAGCAGAATGCCCTGTTCCTGTGTGAGTCTGGTATGGGCTCTGTGTGGAGATGGCATTGTTGCCATGAGAGATGGATACTAGACTCGAGGATGGATCTCTGCGTAGGTAGGTAGGTAGGTAGTAGGTAAGGTACCCAAACTGTACCGGTAGAGCTGCAACAACACACGGTAGATGGCGGTACCTACACATCGCTCTTCAGATGGCGCAAACTGTCAGCCGGCATCCGCAGGGCCCACTCGGCATCCACATGGCACGAGAAAATGACGGGCTCTCTGAAAAGCAAAAGCGAGATTTCCATAGGCTAGTTGGCCGCAATTCAGATGCGTTGTCGACAAAAAACGTTCTGCTGTTGCTCCCCACACCGCCATGCGATGAGGTGGAAGGGGATGGCTTCAGGGACAAGTACAACAAAGTGGGTCCAGAGGAGGGGAGGGGGCCTTGCAAGCCTGCACGCCCGCACGCCCGCTGCATGTTACCTGCAGTAGCAGCCGAATACTTGTGGGCAATGCCGCCGACTGCCTTGTTCCAGCATTCGTCCAGCACTTGTCCAGCACTTGTCCAACACCCTTCGCCCTGGAGGCTGGAGGCTGGAGCTGGCTGGCTCGGGTGGCAAAGCCTGTCTCTTCTGGCCATGCTAGGCGGGCTGCAGGCTCCTGCAAGCCCTCCTCTCTCTACTGTGGTAAGAGGACCTACTTATGCAGCAGCTACAAGCTTGCTACGGGGGCTAAGCAGGCTATCTACCTCCTCTAGCCCATGGTCTACTGTCAAGTATGTACTGAGTTGATAGGACGCGCATCCACGCAAGCCGAACACCGACAACAAACAGCAGCATCGGGGACACGACGAAACAAGAGGGGCCCAGCCATCCCTGAAAACAGACCAGCCTACCTACACCGACTTTGTTTTCTCTCGGCAGTCGTCGTCGTCTCTTCAAGACACGCAAGGGCTAGCTTCGCAGGCAGAAACGAGAATGTCATGGTGATGGGGGCAGGGAAAGGTGGTGAGAGCAGCTCTCGACCAGCATGCGCTTTCCCCAGATTCCAGCCAGCCAGCAGAACGTCGTGCTTTGTCCACTAGCCGCCCGTGCTGGAGGCAGATGTCAAGTGAGACAAAAGTCTACATACCTACTGTACCTAGTACTATAGTACCACCCATCAAACGCCGTCCTCATCGTTGGATGGCGGGCCTACTGTGGGACTTGGTGTGTATGGTAGGGGTCGAGACGGCGCCTGTCATGAGATGATTCGGCGTGTCGAGCCCCTGAGTGGCACAGCAGCCAACTGAGGTTGCGCATGCGGGACTGATATACAGAGGCACAGCATGCCAGAGCCTGCCTCTGGACCCGAGAGTGATTCAAGGGGAATGAGTGCGAGCGAGGTGTGGTGGGAGCAAGAACAAACAGAGCAGCTCCTCCTGGACAACTGGAGGTTGAGAAGCAAGAG